TTGATGTACGGTTGCGAATTATGGACAATATACAAACAAATGGAAAAATCACTTAATGCGACCGAAATCTGGTTCCTGTGTAGAATGTTTAGGGTTTCCTAGAAAGACCGGAAAACAAATGAAGAAGCTCTACAACAAAAGTACGAAAACGACAAGCAGCATTCTTTGGTCATGTGGTGAGGGATGGAACACTTGGAAACTATTGCGAAATTTGTGGTGAGGGATGGAACACTTGGTAACAACTGGGAAATTTGTGGTGAGGGGTGGAACACTTGGTGACTACCCCCCTCACCACCAACAATGGAAACAAGATTTACCTTACCTAAAAACATTAACAAATAATAAACAAATTACTAGTTTCCCAAAGAATATGAAAAACACCTACTGGTGCTCAATTATTGCACATGCGCAGTTAATTACCTGAGGATAATTATCTTTCCATAAAAAGCTTTATTTCTTTCGTGTTTGGCAAGGTTGGAGTTTAATCGTTGTACATCACTTTACAGTAAATAGAATCTAAATATGGTTAAAAATAAAGTAAATCACGAATAGAGAAAATGATAAATCTGTTTTTAGAAACACAAGTAAACAATATTTGGTTATTGACCTGAAAGTGGAACTATATAAGTTTAATTCACCACAAGTCGTTCAGCAACAATAACAACTGGTAGCTACAACACAGATATGATTCTAGAAATATAATTAATTGTTTAGAAGTGAGAATTTAATTACATGCATGCTAATAATACGTGATTCCAAATTAATTTTTCCTAATTATAATTAATGTATACTCTGAAGAAGAAAAGATAACAGTGAATTTTAGACCAGAATTACAAATCGTCGTCAGCTTTTACAATAATTAAAACAGTTAGAAATGAAGAACATTTTGTTTAATTAAATAAATTAATTAAAAGCTATAATTAAAATTTCTATTCCAGATCATGAAATAATCACTTTGGAAACATTATGTAAAAAGTATTTTTAATTGGGTTATATTTTGAAATTCGTGGACCTTAAGAGTAACAAAATACAGTTGATCCCGATTCATAACCAGGTTTGTTTTTCCTGTTCTTACAGAAATAGAGCATATGCTCAATGTTCCTCTCAAATAATGACCCTCCCCGAGAGGCAACCATGTCGCATTTTTAATGATAACTGTAGCTCCAAAAGGGCCGTGCTTACAACGTTTTATCCTTACAAAATAACGACATTATTAAAAACGTACTGTTGCGTCAGCGAGTCACATGACTAGTGTGACGCCACGTTTCTAGAACTATCCCGTACCTTGGCGAATGCTCTAGTATTTACTAGATAGGGTAGTCTGGTATATATATAAGAGGGTGACAACGTGACGCGAGGTGAATAATGTGTGTGTAGATAGTGAGTAATTGAACTGTAGTCACAGGGTATTGTTGAAGTTAACGTTCATTCGTTATAGTGTTTGTTTTAGCGCGAATATTGAAATTAAGTGTATCGTCAAGTTATATTC